CAGGATAGGCTCCTGCTCATTGGGCCACATCACTTGAAAACAGACCTTGATAACAGAGGAAGAATATGCAAGTAGTGTCTAATTGTAGACTTATGAATTTGAGGTTTGTAGTACACAGTATTGACTAGGATCTATTTTTCTCTCCTGGACATTACAGACTCCAGATTTTTATGTGGAAATGAAATGGGAGTTCACCAGCTGGGGTAAAAACTTCTTCATTGCTGTTTTTTCATGCACAGTTATAATAAGCTATTTTGATTTAGAATGCTTATCAGTCAAAAAGCTGTGTTCTGCGACAAAATTGCACTATACCAATACATGTAAATGCAGTGTGATTTTTAATAATTATCTGGCTGAGATACAGATTCTGTTGAGTTGCTCTGAGAGAACTAAGTTGCTTCTCAAGCAATGATTTAGTTGATAGAAGATAAGAAATAGATGCCATAGCTTCAACCTTGATATTACTTGTCATTTTAGGAACCGTTTTGCAGAAATTTTTAATTGATGGGATGAAAGTGACCCTTCTTCATTCTAGCAGTACTTTAATTGAGATACTAAGCTCCAGGAAGATATTTGGCTTGAGGACATAACCTATGCACAAAGTGCAGCAAGGCCTGTGTGTCCTGAATGAGAGCCAGATATTTTTCTGTCCAGCCTTCCCCAGCGCAGCATTTTATTATATAACCACTAAGTGTTGAAAATAGCAAAATTTTATTTCAACCAAAAGAAGACACAAGAAAACTCCAAAAAGTCAATGAAAAAGATTTTTTTACATCAACACTTTTCCTTTGTTTTTTTTTTTCGGATATCAGAACAAGAGACTCACAATTCATTGAAAAATGCAACTTGTTTTTCTTTTTTTTTTTCATGTTCTTTTTCCTTTAAGTTCTTGCCCTGTAAGTGTAGGGCCAGATAGTGTTTTCCGGACAGGCCCACTTCAACCCATCGGGGGTTTCACAGATCAACTTTCTCATTCACATGGTATATTATGATGACAATTGTTCACTTAATTTGTATACTAAATTTGAACATTCTGTTTTTGACAGTACCGTTTATGTCCAGAATGTGTCCCAGTGATACATATAAAATATACAAATGTGGTGAGTAAAGCTTTTGGTTTAACTATGTGCAGTGTGCTGTTGATACTGAGCATTTTGATTCAAATGTGAAACTTCATATTTACTGTGTGTTGGGTAAATTAGTACAACTATGCACCATATCTCGGTGGATAGTGTCGAAGGTGCACTTGAATTGACAACTCAGTGTCTCTGTATCCTTTTCTATTCACTCCAAGCAACTCATGTGGGATTTGCACCCACAAATATGGTAATTGTAGCAGGAATAGATTAGTTAAAATCAGCTTTTTGTACTTCATTATCTCACTGTTTTATTATACATGTGTACCTATACAGCTATTCATTGGAGTGTTGGTGGCTAGCAGTGGATATTTACCTTGCAGTTTCACACTTAGTAAATATCCACCACAAATGCCTCCACTTTGGGGAACAATTTTTTGATTATTTGTTGTTTATTTTTTTACCTCAGTCTGTAACATTCAATATCTGATTTGTTATTCCCCTATCTTTTTTGCAATTTCCTTTCTTGTTAACTAGTTGGGAGAATTTGCAGTTACAGTACATAAATTTTATGTCAAGAATCACCTCTTGTCTCAGATGATACTCTCTTTCTTTAGCTGTTGGCTTTATTGATATTTTAAGAAAACCTTAAAAACATAGAGACAGGGGCTGTCTAGAAAACCAGTTGACCAAACATAAAAAGAAAGATGGTGAATTTGAACTTGGCTACCAACTATAGAAAGTTGTTTTAATTTGTTTTTTTCCTTCACATTGGACAAAGAAACAATTTGAGTCCCTACAAGAAATCAAACCTCCAACCTTGTCTAATGCTCCACTGTTGACCTTCACACAACTTGGTGGGGAGCTAGATTAACTACTTGGTTCATACATTTATATGACCTGCATTGTTTTGGGTCGTGGACGCACGCAATACACATTTAGCTATCAGCCTGGTCAATTTTTTGTTTGATTGTGGTTGTAGGAGCAAATGTTCGAGCTGACACCACGTTAATTGGCTTTGACCAGAATGACTGGCAGAGGGGTAATAGGAGTTACATTTTTAAGGGTGGAGGTAAATGATGTGATCATTTATGATAACTGATTTATGGAATGCTTTATGAATGTATATTGGGTCAGTAAATGAGTTTGGAAACCACTGTTTTTTTATAAGTCTGTCTCAACATGTTGGTTATTAGATAGAAAATTTATCTTTGGGCATTGTCTTTGACGTATAAGATGCAGTTTTTCATTAGTTAATGTGTGTTGTCCTGTGGATGTCAGTCGCTCTTCCTCATGCCCTTGGATACAAAGGCTCACATACACTTACTACAAATAAATCTATTAACAAGGTCTTAAAGGGTAGTGTGGATACATTTTGCAAATATTTTAATTTAAAAGGGAGTCATTCTAATCAGTGAAAAAAAGTCTGTATATTTTGGAAGTATCATTAGGCAAACTGATTTGTGATGACTGGATATCCTAGTAGATTTTGACTGGTTAGACTAGATCTTATATTATTCACTAATTAAACTTAATTTTTTGCATGTGATATACACATTTCATGTCATGTGGGGCAACTGATGATATTGTGATTCATTAATACATTTTTAGCGGAAGGAGGAGAATTTTTAGAGATTGATCATGAAAAAAAGAGATACTTCAAAGAAACTTTGCATATTAGGTATGTTGGGTCATCTAAGCATAACTCATGATAGTATTGAAATTTATAAGTGAAGTCTTCTAATGCGAGGTAGCATTTTATATCTTGCAATCATTCTTCTAAGAATCTTGGACTAATAGTCTCCCATTACAAGCCAGATTAATTTACTGCAAGCTAATATTCTACACACTGTAACTGCCAGTGAAGCTTAAAATTGATGACTCACTTTTTGAGACTAATTAGTCCAATACGTCTCAACTACACTGTGTATTCTTTATATTATTTTGTTAAATTTAGAGTACCATAGTTTGTTTTGCCCATGGAAAGCTATTGCTAGTCTGAGCAGGCCAGTCATGTTCAATTAAAAGAAAATTATACATCAACTGTACATGCATCTATAGTCAGGATTATTTTGAAAACTATGGTCGTCATTGTCTTTCTTTCTTTTTGTAGGGAAGATTTTCGTGACCTGGAGGGGCTTAAACCTTCAGAAGATGTTATCAATGCCAGATTAACAACACCAGCTGTTGCTACCATGCTTAACACAGATAATATTGCATTTACAAGGTAATGTTAAATTAGAACACTTTCTTGATGGTGGGCTATGATGCAATTATTGGTTATTCCTTTATCAGTTGTAGATTTAAATATTAGTTTTCTTAGCCCTGCAGTTTGAATACAAGACAAGTTGTGGAATTTTCTCTTAAAAGCTGAAGGGAGAAAGCTTCTCTCCATGCTTATAAATTAAAGAAAAATTAAAGTGACACTATGATGACTTTGTGAATATACTGGGCAGAATATAACTTTTTATTCTGTTGGTCAAGTCTAAGGTTGCAAAGTAAACTTGACAGTTATTAAACCCTACCCTCCCAAAAAATGAACAAGTTCTTGTCGGCCACTTAAATTCTGATTAATGGTATATTCCACAGTACATATCCCATGCAAAATTATCCTCACAAAGATCCTCCCTAATTGATCTGCCCTATTGAGGAATCTGTCTGCTCTCATGCTCTCCCACAACTCCTTTAAGACTGTGTTAACACCACAAAATTTTTGCATAGAACCCCTGCTGTACTTGTTCCACCAGGAAAAATCACAGTTGCCATTTGTTTGCAAAAGTGTTCTTGCATGAGACAGCCTGTATTAAACTCCCCCTTAACCAATTAACTGGTAGTATTTGGTTTTAGGGTCATCTGTTACCCATTTTTAACAAGTAACTTTCACATTTCTGCAGGATTTAGTTCACTTCAAAGTTAATTACTTTTAATAAGTTAACTAGAAGGAATTAGCTGAATCGACAGTTTGATAAAAGAGTCGTAATAAATGTGATATTTCATGTGTTTTCTCTCTTCCTTTTTTTTCTTGTGATGCAGATTTGGTGTCAGAATAAGTCACCCACAATATCATTACATTGATAGTGACTGCTTTGGGCCCCAACCTCTGACCTTTCAAAGTTGCCATTTGATGCCGAATAAGTCACCCACAACACAATCATACTGAATTGCAGAATATCATTTCATTGACAATGATTGCGTTGGGTTTGAACCTCTGACCTTTCGAAGTTGCCAATGAGTTACCTTAAATCATAACCTTAAGATGGTTGCCAGAAACAAAATTTAATAACTATGTTTAACTTAGTAAAAGTGGAAAAGAAAGTAGTTAATTGTTTTTTACAAATGCTTATCACACTTCAAATAACTTTGGACTGTAAATATTGTCACCTATGAAAAATCACTTTTTCATAGTGATTAAAAGAAAATCATAATCTTTGTTCATATAAAATTAGCTTCTCTTTAAAATTCACAAGGCACAAGACCATGTGGGGGTGGGGTGGAGACAAGACAGAGGTAGTGAATGGATATGAGTGCAAAGTGTATACAGCAAGTGGGGTGGAGGTTCTCACTAAAACACGAGTGGAGCACTTGAATGCCGAGGATAAACAGATGGCTCAAAGTGAGTTCATCTTTGAGTTCTTTTAGTTTAAATAAATTTAATTTCAATGGGTGATCCTTAATCATATTCATATGTTACACTATTTTCCAATACATTTGGCCTATCAATATTCTAAGATTGACCTATTTTTAACACTTGATGTTCTAATTCAGGTGGCTCAAATTGGTTCAGCCATTTTTAAGCTACAAATTCTTTGAAAGATGGCTATAATTATAACTGCAACTTTTCATTCGTGTCTTTAAAGATAACTTCAAAAAGCTGCCTTAATTTTAGCATAATATACCCTTGGCTCAAATGTGAATTTGAACCCCAAATTTCACAGTCATTTACAATCAGCTAATGTAGTTTCATCTTTGCATTAAATTTCAAAAATATATGTGATGTGGGTTCAAGGCAACCTATAGTAAATGTGGATATCAATTAAGGCGGCTCTGAACCTACTTTGTAGATTGTGTAACTTTCAGAAAGATGAAAAATAGATTAATTTATAGTTTGCATTTCAACAAATGAAAGTGGGGGTCACTGAATTAGTTTTGATTCAGGGGCACATAAAGCTGTGATCAAGAATGTTTCAAGAAGATGTAGCTTAGCAATCAAAACTTTTTGATTCAGGAAAGAGACCAATGGTTTTATTATATGGAACCATTGATTGAAGCAATGAAGATATCAAATGTGGTTGTACAAACAGATCAAACAGCATATTCTTAAAAGAGGCAATTGCTTGAGTCTCCTTAAATAATTATTATACAAGAGGAAGATAAATTGCAGGCAAACTTGATTTAAATTCAAATCAATACTTAAAACTCTTTTAGTCCAAATCATTTCATATGACATCTACATCTCTGAGTTTGCTAAGTGAAAGCATTTTCTTATAGAAATAGGCTACTTAAGACCTAAGTATTGCTTTTTTGAAAAGATACAAATTTGAATCATACTATCCCTTTTTTTGTCTTTTTAACAGATACAAATGATACATTTGCTGCAAATGGTCTACAAACTCTCCTTGGTATTGAGGAAGAGAATGTATCAAATAATGTGGAGGTAAAAGATTTCTTGAGTACACTTTTATACTAATTTAAATACAAATTTGGCCTGTGTTGCGGGTCAGAAAAATAATTAAGACTGTTGTATTCATTTTTGTCTGCAAATTAGACCAATCTAACTTGTATCCCTTTACACACTTTCTAAAGTTCAAGAGAGAACATGTTTCAATGACAAATGATTACCAACTATGTCACACAATGTTTCTGGAATCTGGGAGATAGAATGGTAAGGCCACTGCCAAGCCAATATTATTGAGTAGGAATGCTATTATACACAAGTTTACCAGGTGTTAGGATCACACTTGACAAGGACTTGTATGTGTAAATTCCCCTAAATCCTTCTTAAATATTATGATTCCTCCAAAACTAGACTCCTCCAGCCAGTATTGTCCAAGCTTAATTATGGGAAAGTTGCATTTTGACACATTTCATTCTGCTGCATACTTGTTTATTTCCCAACAGGATGACCAAGTTGGTTCAGACTTAGATCGTACTTCTTCTAACCCTTACAAAATGAGTTTAGAGGAGTACTTTAATCCTAATCCAGAATCAAATACAAGGGGTAAGACTTTAAATAATTTTAAAACATGTGTACTGATCAGTGTTTGTGAGCAGATCAATCATCACGACCCTAGATCAGAATATGATGATATTGCTTTAGTGCAGGCAGACTTTCTTAGGACCTCCTAGGAGTTATTTTTTCTGCCACATTGATTTAATTTATTGACAGAAAAAGATAATGAATTTTTTGCCTCTATGTTTTGGAGGCCAATTGCCCCCCATCTCAGAAACTCTTATGGAACAAGCTACCTTGAAGTTCTGATAAAAAAGGTCAACCAAAAATTGGAATTATTACCATTTAGTTTTCTTTTGGGAGTCATCTGTTGAGCAGTGTTGTTAGAGTAAACTTCTCTGGATAGTTGTAACATTCTTAACCCTTAGGTTTAACTGTTACACCACCATTTAACCTAGCCCTGTGTCAACTGTAATTGCCTTCTAGATTACTAACTACAACCATACACAAATAGGAGAAGGTAAGGAATCCGATCCTACCAATGCATCAACCAACATTGGTGGTGTGTCGGCCAATGTGTTGGTAGTCTGTTGGTGATTTGTCGGTAGTGTGTTGGCTGACGTGTTGGCTGACACATTGATGGGATTGGATTCTTTACCTTTACCCACAAATAGCTTTTTTCTTCTTAGCCAACATTTCAATTATATGGTCCATGATTCAATTTGTTACCTGGGGGCACCAACCCTTTTGGATGTACCTTCAAATGCTTGCTAAGTTTAACCAAAATTGGTTGCTGTTCTCCAGTCTTCACTGCAATAGTCCATTTAGTGTGCTTGGTTGCCAAGCCTTGGAACAGAAGTGACACTAAGGGTGACCTTGCTATGATATATGCATTGCTGGTTTTCCAATGTAAATTGCTCTGTTATTGTGCTAACTAGATACTGGTCTCTGTCACAACAAGGTCACCTTTAAACTCAATCTAAATTAAAGGCTTGGCAGCTAAGTACACCACTTTAAAATGGCCTATAATTTTCATTTTTAGTATCTGGAACCTCACTAAATTCCAACAAATTTCTTCTACCCAATGAGGTGCAAAAAGTCTGCATTTCTTTGTGTAGACTTGATATGTATCTTTTTACATCACCAGATATTGGAAAATTGAAAGAAATGACAGTGAAGAAGCAGAAATTTAAAGCTACAATTTCAATGTGTGACAAGCACCCGTTGTCTCTTCGTGAACAAGTGCTTCCAATTGTCAAATTACTGGTGAGTACATGGACCCCCTCCTTGATGTATCAGTATATATAAAAAAGAGTGACCTCTAAACTTTAAAGCTGCCCGGTCCTGAAATCTCTTTTATTAACTTAAAGTTTTATATTATTGTAATTTTACAACATGCAATGTTTTGCAAACTTAGTTTGGTGTACAACATCCCTCTCCCTAAGAGTAGGTTTGAATAGTAAAAGAAACAAATAATGGAGATACAATATTATGAAAACAGAAATTCAGACCCTAACGTACATCTACAAACCTTATTGGTGATATTTTGTGGTGTAAATAAGTGAGGAAATGATATGGCTTGAACTTGTACTTGAAATTAATAAATTAACTGGTTAGATGTGCAAGGTACAAAATGTGCTTAATGAAACTCATTAAAGTTATACACGTAGGAGTTTGACAAGTGAACAAATTATATGGGAAGGAAATTTGGGTAATTAAACCATTTGATAAATGGTTATTACTGTAAAACCTGTAGCCAATACTTTCCCCGTATGATCCTTATGCTTGGTTGATGAGGTAAATTTATTGCTTACTATGATTATTGTGGACTAATACATCTTGATGCAGGCTATCAGCAACACTCATTTTGCTAAGCTTAGGGACTTCATTGCACTTCATCTACCAACAGGATTCCCGGTCAAAATAGGTAATGTGTGCTTTGCTACATACATTTTTAACTTATGAGTAGCTGGAATTTTACTCCTGGTAACTGAAAGCCTCCATGTGGTAAGACTTTGAGATGGTGCTGGTTTTTAATTTTCCTTTTTTAACAATCAGTAATTACAACAATCAGTAATTGTCAACCACCAAGAGTTGGGAGTCGATCAATTGATGTTACTGACAGAGACAGTAAAGTTTTGGTTCTTTCAGAAATTCCTTTGTTCCATGTCCTAAATGCCAAAATAACGTTTGGTAATATTGGGGGAGGAGAATGTTTAGTGGAAGGAGTGCATGCAATCAGAGCTGATATACAGGAAACTGGAGAGGATAGTCACACCTCTACTGAGGGGGAGGAACAGCCCCTTGTAGATGGGCTGGCTGCAAGGTGTGTCATAGAATCAACTTGTTTTGATGCTCCAGCAGACTACCGAGAGGTTAATCTGGATCAACCAGTTGGTGAGTAACCTTTTTGCTGGAAGAATGCAAAACATGCATTTTGCAGGTCTTAAAACTGAACGCTGGTCAATGGATAATGTCAGGGAAAAAATTCAGTTGATGTGCATGCTTTCATACATCTGTACAGAGGAGGAACCAAATTAACTGTCGTAATATTTCTACAGCTGTGAATACATAAAAGTCATATGTTTGAATTGCAGATAAAGAAGTATGAAAGTGATCTTCACAATTATGAACACTACTTAAGCACTACTTAAGCATTAGTGAAAAGAAGGCCTGGGAAAAAAAAAATTCAGGCCTGTATGGGATTTGAACCCATGAACTTTGTGATACCTGTGCAGTGCTTTACCAACTGAGCAAACAAGCCAACAACTGATTGCACTTCTTACTTAAACTTCTTCAAGGTCCATGGCTAGGAACCATTAGCTGGCCTCTAGCCATTAATGGAATATATCTTAACTTTGACTTTTCAGAAGACCTAATCCACTAAAAATTTTGTTTGGCCATTTAAACATGACCACTAACATTCAGTTTATTCCATAGCTTCCTTTTTTCTCTTGTGTTTAATCATGTAGCTATTTATACATTGCTTTGGCCCATTTACTCTTAAGCTTTCACAAACACATCAACCAAGAGCTACATTTCTTTTTGCAAACATCAAGGATCTATTCCATTGGTATCTGGTCAAAACCATGTGTTCTTCACATCAACTGAGTTGATAATGTAAATTGGCCACTGTAAAGAGTCTCAAAGCTAACATTTCAAGTGTTAGGCATTCATCAGAGTGAATGACAAAGGGCTAACACTCAAAATGTCAGCTTTAAAACTCTACAGTGGCTAATTTATGTTATCAACTTAGTTGATAATACTAAATTACCTAGGTATACTCTCTCACTGATGCAGCACCACTGTTATTCTTTAGAAACTCGCACCCTTTTTTCTTCACATCAGATTGGCAACCATAATGCCAAGAACAATGTAGCTCTAGAAATTAGTTTTTCAACTTCATTTTACCCATGCAGACAGCTTAAATCCACAAATTATGACACTGGAGAAAAGAAGGAAGGATCACAAGTCCCTGGCTAACCTTCCCGCAACAATTGTCATGACACAATGAAATTTAAAATAAAGTGTTTAAAAGGGCCTGACAAAGAGTCATCTTCCATAATAAAGTTAAAATCTAATCTTCCTCAAAAATGGGAATTGAAAATGAAATGTTTAAGAACACTGGAAGCTTGAGCATGTATTGTTTTATCATTGTAATGACTCAAAAACTGACAAAACTGTTTCTCTCTCTATGGTCTATTAGCTCCTCTTAGAGATGAAGAAGATGAGATGCTACAACTAGTAATACAACAGAGCTTACTTGAATATCAACAAGATCCTTCACAGATTGTGACTCTTCAGACTTTACAAGGCAGCCAGCAACAAGAAGATGATGACTTGCAACGGTATTAAATGCATCTTACACTGTCTAAAAAAATTCTTGTTCACTATTCCACAAAACCTATTAGTAAAGCCTCTCATCTTCCTCTGGGTTCTGTTGTATTGAGTACATTTATATTCTTGAGGTGCCTGGAAGATACAGTAATTTACTTAACTAGAATGATAATTTAAACATTAGCAATTATTGTGTGGACTTTTTTGTTCTATCCTTGAGAATGATGGTATTAATACTCAGATACTAAGTCTTCCTGATGCAGGTATTAGTAACACCTTGGAACCCTCAGTTAATTTTCCTCCTAAGCTTGTGAATGCATAGTGTGATTTATAATTTGGATATTAAGCAATATTTTTCAAACAGTGCAATAAGAGAAAGTATGAGAGAAAGTGGTGTTGAAGAGGGAGAAACCCCGCAAGTTCTTCCTGTTCAAAGACAAGAAGGAGATGGAGTCATTGCCTATGATGAAGACTTGCAGCTGGCTATGGCACTTTCTGAACAGCAGCTGGAGGAAGATGAACGACTTCGAAAACAGGAAGAAGAAGAGCTGGCTCAAGTCATTCAGCTATCTCTTGCAGAAAATTAACTTGTATAGCTTTCAGATCAGGCTATAAAAACTGTAAAACTGTATTTGCGTTTAATTCTTCAAACTAAAGTGAAGTAGTCGGTATATTTAGTAACTTCTTAAAGTGAAGTTGAAGCTCTGAGATTTTTTGGGAAGTTATTGACTATTTATTGTTTATTTTTGAAATGGATTACAACAGCAAAAAAGAAAGAAGGCATTGAAAATGAGTTATAAAATTAGGAAACTACAAAAATTATGAGTATCATTAGGTAGTTCTCTTGGCATTTTACATTTTTTTTTGATAGCAAGATCGTGCCACGTGTGACTTAACAGTCTTGTGAACAATGACTTCATGTATGAAAAATGGTATTATTTTCAATCTGCTGCATTCATTTTACGTGAAATAACTAATTACTTTGTGTCAAATGACACTTCTTATTCTGTTAGAATCCACATTGTCTGTATGCTTTTAGAGTTGGAGACTAACTTAAGTTGTATTGACAAGTGCTAGTGTCACCCTAAGGGTCAAACACTGTTTGGTGTCTGCAGTAATATTACTCAAGAGGCTTCCTATAAGAAGAACATTATCATTAAAAAGAACTTTTCAAATTTTCATTTTTTTTCAAATTTGTTTTGGTTAAGTCAACATAAGTTGGAGAACATTTCCTTTTTTGGATTGAATTCATAGTTACTTATACCTAGTATTCTCTACGTAAATTATTCCCCCTAACTATTAATTGTATTTAGTTCTCTTGGAGACTGTACAAATTTAGAGTGAAACAAGAGGAAACATTTATATTAATATCAATAACATTTTATTTATCAGACCAGAAGATATTAACATTTTTTGTTTTATCATTGTGTCTGTGCTTCAAAAGTCACCAAAGAGGTGCAGTCATGTTTCTAGTCATGTTGTCCTTTTATGTAGGACTGTTTTTAGGTTTGTTGTTTCAATGTCACATTGTATGGTTGGATAATTCCACTTTTTTTTACCAGTCAATTGTGCAATAATTCATTTTTTAACCATGAAAGTAAATGGAAAGTTTTATTAGGTGGTCTGGTGCTAAATAAATAACATTCTTAACCCATGAACAAGTTGTTTCTTTTGTCATAACTATGATTGATGACAGGACCTTTTTCAAAAAATTGCTAAGTTAAAGTGCAAACACATGAAATATTAGTTTTTAAGATTGGATACAAAAAGGGATGTATTTCCTTCAACTTTAACTTTATGAAAATAGTTATATTCCAATGAACCTTGTTAAATTGTCTTTACTTATGACTGTAAACTGCATTTGTGTACTATATTTCATGATTTGAAGATACACATTTGTGTGTTTAAATGAGGTGAGAATTGAATGAGGTGACATCCTGTGGAGCCTTTTTCATCTGAAAACATGTTAAACACATCAAGTCATTAACATTTTATTTCCTGGGATGCCTGTGGCGGATCATGTTGAAAACTCACTTGAGTGACATTGTTGTCAGATATATTAGCCACGTACTTGTGCTTCTCACTGAGCTTAAGCTCTGTTTGGTGGGGTTGCTACCTGGATGAGTGACTGCACATAATATCCTGTGTTGTTGACTTTCTTTTGTTTCAGTTCCTTTTTTCAATTTCATTCCTCTACTTTGAAGAGTCAGTAGATAATGACTAATGTATTTCATGTTAACACCTCAAGTTGCCATGTTGAAAAGTTGTGGCACATTTGTCTCAAGAATCTTCCATGCAATCTTCCAGTTAAGTGACCACCTTAAAATTGTTGCTTGTTATTTGAAGTGCTGGGATAGTTGTTAAGAAATGAATATGTCAAATATGTGATTAACTCACACTTTATTTTACAAGTTAAGTACAATGTAATATTAATATAATTAAGGAATTGAAATCCGTTATCAAGCACAGCAGAGAACCCGAAAGGAAAAAAAAATCCATATTTTGAAATCAACAAATTGCAAATTTGTATATTCTAACATTTCTAGACTTCAAAATGTAATGGTTGTTTCTTTTCTTCAATTAATCTCAAATGAACATGATATACAACTGTGAACACTTACAGTACTTTCACAGTTGTGCAAATTGTGTTATTTCCTGACCTTACAGCTAACTTTTTTCCTTTCCCTGGCAAGTGTTCTAATTCTTAATTAATGCCTACAAATATCACTATACAATAACTAAATGCTACTTGATGTAACAAACTATTTCTCAATTTTAAAATGTTCTTTTGAACAACCTTAAATCCAGTAAGGATATTTTAAATATTGATTGACTTTGCATCATCGATGTTTGGTACAGTGAACCATAGGCCCTTTGATGTTCCTCTGTTGGAGGAGACATCTCTACAGCAAGAAAAACAAATATTGTTTAACCTGTATTTAAGTACTACAGACACTGCACCTGGAGATATGGACTTTTCTTGAGGGTTCCCGGAGATATGGACTTCTCTTAAGGGTTCCCTATACCCCTTTGTTAAACTTAGTCCAGGGAAATATTTGGCCTTTTCAAGCATTGTGCACAACATCCAAAATTTTTTCACATGGACGCAAAATTTGAAACAATCAGGTTTCACATAAAATAAAACACAAAACTTACAACTTAAAATTTTCTCATTTTAAACCCAGTTTATGATGATAACTTATTCTATTTACACAAGACCCATTATTGGTCTGTGTTATGACTTTCTTGATCTGTATGAAGTCCACGTTTTGTCATTACTTAACCACAGCTATGTTTTCTAAAAAAACAATTTTCTATGTTTTCTAAAAACAATGTTTGCAAAATAAATTTATTTCAGCCCTTCATTTACAGGACTCTTAAAAAAAAATACCCATGAGGACATGAAAAGATCTTATCATCTTTAATCACAATTACCCCCAAAAAAATTGAAATCATGTTTCACAAGAAAAGAAATTGCCAATCACACTTTGCTTAAAAAGTATAGGGATCCTCTTTTTCTGTATTATATTGTGCAACTTCAAGAAAACACTTCTCCCAAATGTCTCAATTGAAGCAGTTAGAACTCTTATTTACTGCTAGACACAAAAAACTGGTTGTTGGAGGAAATCAAAGTTTTCATTTTTCATACCTCAAATTTGTGGTATGGTGTCAGACTTGCCAGTTTCAATCAATTAGGTGTACCTCAAAGAGTTCTAGAAATATTCATTCTCAAGTATATGTTGAGTTAACTATTTACAAAGTGTAAAAACATGACTCTCCTTATTCACTGACCTATTCAGCCTTAGGCTGTAAACAAAATCATATGTAAACCTAGTATGTACATTAAACTAAACAATTATGTCTACTCCTGATCATGGGTGTTTAACCTTTACAGATACCTAAATATCCCTAAAATTGTTTGCCATGACCATTGCCAATAATCATAGGATAAGCCTTCTAATGCTGTACACCATGCATTATATTTTATCCAAATCTTTCTTCATACAGTATTGTCTGTGTAAAAAAAAATTAACACAAATCATTACAGAGTTGTTACTGGAAAGTCAAATGGAAAGAACCAAATTCATGTGACTGTCTAAGGGAATATTCAACAACAGAGATTTATCTTAATTTCCTCCCTTACTAATAATTTTGCACTTGATATACATGTTCTGTTCAAAAACTTGAAAAAACTTGAAACAAATGATGAAACTGCTCATGAACCTAAATACTATTCATAAATCAGTACTAGAGCTACAAATGTTTGACATTGATCGAGACACCCATTGATATTCTTCATAACTATGATAGAAAATTGTGTTTCTATTGTGTATATTTTGTGACCTAAATACATGTTGTTGTTTAATGTTTGTTGAATAGACTACGAACCTTCCTGTCCCTTCCCCTTGCAGCAAGGTTGCTTAACCTTCTTCAGGATATTTTTTCTCCTAGCATACATGATCATTCCAAAAACCAAAGCACAAAATGCCACAGCACTTGTCACACACAATCCAATCTTGTATGGCAGAATATCCTCTATTGAAAACAAGGTTAAAATAATTATTAAACAAGCTGTACCTGGGTTATTGTCAGCAGAGGTTCGCAAGTTAATAATGGTCATAGGACTTTGTGTGTTCCAATTCAATTGGTAATCATACAAGTTATTAACAAAAATGGACAACTGCAAAGCGGGAGTCCAATTTGTTAATTACAAGTATGATTACAGACAGAACTGGATGACACAAAGTCTGTTACCAATGAATCAAAACTATGACAAATTTTGAGAAAGAAACTAGACATCAGTTATACGTTTTCATAAACAAACAAACAACAGTTAACTCGGCAAAATGTGAGTCAACAGCGCACACACATGATGCATTCTGTCCACTTACACAGGCATGATGTGTTAACTGTCCTTTAACTGTCCTATTACACTGCCCAATAACAAGCATGATATGTACACTGCCTGTAAGTGCTCAAATCTGGCTGGTGTTAGCCAATCATGTTCAAGAATTTTGTTATAATTTTTATTGAGGGAAAAACTTCATTCATTCCTAATTTCATTATCTTGTACAGTCATTACCTACCTATATCAGGTTTCCTCCCAGATGGCTGTGATACAGGTTTGCAGATACATTGATCTCCATCTGGAACCTGGCCATTATCCAAATCACAGTCAAGGTTGCATTCACAATCACAACTTGTGTGATTTAGAACCTTGATGATCTTATCATTTCCATTGAAGGGATCATGTACTTTAACATCAATTAATTCTGTGGTTGATGGTATGCAGGGTTTGCGTTCTGGGTTGATGTCATCACAAGTTCCTGAGCAGCGGTGCAGTAACACGTGGTATGGTTTGAAACCTTCAGTCTGGTCACCCACCACTACTGGTCTTGGTTTACATGATTGCTCTTGGAGTTGTATTGCAAAGGCCTGAACTAAAGTGATTGAATTAAAATATTATAATTAACAACTAGTATATTAACTCTTAAACATGGCCAATATATATATTTGAGAATGATACTCAAGGAAAGAAGAGTGTATGAACAAATGTAAACAAGAGAATAACATAAATAAAGGTTGCTAGTAATAAGAATATTTTAATTCAAACAATAGTACAGGATGGTCAATTCAAAAATTGCGATAGAGTCCAGGCATCATAAAATTAATTATCACAAAGCTACTATCTAGAGTTGTTTGTTTGTTTGTCATGACTGGTGATATTTTTCGAATTTTGGTGCCCTTTAAAATTAATATCACAAAGAATTTTGGTAACCTAACTTAGGTTGGGCAAGCACACTCAGGTTAGTATGCTCTACGACAGCAGCATGATGGGAATTAGAGAAGGAAATCACCACAATATTTAACAAGTACATAAAAAGCAAAGAAAGAAAATATTTTGGGAGTAACACCTCATTTACATGTGTCGTGAGGCTAACACAATAGACGCTATTCTCATTCAATGACATGTAAATGAGTGGCAGGGTATTCTGCAATTTAACCATATTTGGGAGTAACCTTTGTCTTGAGGAGTCGAGGACTTTGATAAACTTTTAACATATAAAAAGTTACAACTGAACGGAAGAGGGAAAGCCAGCGGTATGTAAATTAACTTTGGTGGTTGCAAGGGAGGAACAAATATCACTTGCTACAAAAATTAATTTCGAAGCGGTGGCCAACATGATTGTTTACATAGTGAAGCCGATCTGATTTAAAAAGTACTCTTAGATCTTTCGAGAGTAGAAAATTTGATACCTTTTGGTCTTGATATGTAAGGAGGATGCAATGCCCAAAGCATTTGTTTGAAACGGCTGGGATATCTTTTAATGAAGGTGTTTTAAGAACCACAAAACAAACGCCAGAGCAACTGTTTTGTACATAAATAAATTTCAATTAAAGGTGGCAAATTCCGCGCATTTTGCGACTTGCATTGTTAGTGTAAATCAAAAGTGATTTCGTAAGCACAATCTCTCAGTTTGTGAAAATTAGTGCGAGTCGGCCCACGTTATCGCTACAATTTCGTTGCCACATTTAAGATCACGAAAAATTGTAATAAATCTCAGTGATCGCGTTTACATCGCACATTTTCGCGGTATTTCCTACACTCCAGCGTCTTTCAAAAATGACCGAGGCCGGCCGCAGGAAACTTGGCTTGCTCTACTCAGAGGCGCAAGGAAGAGACAAATCATTATTCTCTGTGAAAGATCTATCTACAAAATAATACAACTAAAAGTTTTTCAGAAATGCTATTGATTTCAATTAATCAATCTCAAACACTTTCAAGCGCAAAGCCGATGTTACAAGCTTCTTAAAACACGAAAGGTTTCCTCCTAAGAGAATCGTACGATCGAGAAACAAAAATTCTTGAGTGGAATAGCTTTCAATTGCACTTTCACTAAGAGAAACCCTTGTAAATTTAACGATACAATTTATCGGACGGAAACAGGCTTGAATGAATAGCAACCAAACTCGAGAAAATTGCAACAGCTCTTGTTGTCAAAGAAGTATCAACTTAACAGATGTTTTAAAACCGATATATTTTGGTGAAAGTTTTGTTAGATTTCTATAAGAAATTTGAAGAAATCGTTACTCCACCGAGAACAGTTCGTCGCTACACGTGGAAGTTGTAGTAATTCCCGTAGTAAATTTTTAAACGTGTTTACTCACCTGATGCTAAGGTTAGCGTGGCTCCTACGAAGACATACAACCAAGATTTTTGGGACAACGTAAGGCAATTATTGCACATGGATGAATCAATTATGTTTTCTTGCCTCTGTGTAATAAACAAATGATGTTAATGTTTGATGTTAATGCTTTGATACAGCAATCGCTGAAGAAGGTAAGCTATGAATGAAATCAATTTGTAACACAGGAACTAATATCTTGACTGAATGCCCAACCTACTCTGTCGTCGAGGACCAATCAGTGGACTCGTCATGAAGTACACCGGAAATGAAGTAAACCGGAAATGAAGTACACCGAAAATGAAGATAACATCTCATGCTGACCAGCTGAAATACGGCTGGCAATTTCATTTTCACCAGGTTGACTGTTACACTCATTTCATAACTAGAGAAATTCAGTGGTCATTTTTCGCCAAATTTTCGTTGAAAAGAGGTTGTAAATATTCAGGTTTCCCTCGTTCCTCCACAGATTCAATAACTTGCTTCTCAGAAATCCATCTGTGACCTTTCTGCGCTAATGCCATCTAAACAATATGTTAATGTACGTGAAAAACCCAACCCAGATTCCTTTCATCTTCCTGTTTACCTTTTCCGATTTAAACACATACCTTAAGAACCCCGGGTGTAAAGAAATATCTGTTATCGTAGGGAGACTTTTAATTTACTCCAGCTAATAATGCCTTTTTTGTCAAAGTCATCACTTCCATGTTTACCAAGCAGAATTGAACGAAGACGTGTGGCATTCTCTACCCTTCATCTGCAAGACTTACGCGATGATGCACCTAGCAAATATCACTAAAATCTAACACGCGGGGTTAAAAAAAAAATGAGTTGCGCTTGAAGGCTGATTTTGTAAGAGCTCTGAAATAGCCTGACTGAGAAGTAAGAGCTGAAAGCCACAGGAAAGAATTTTTCACTTTTAGGGAATAAACGAAGTAAAAAAAGCTCCAACATAAAGAGTAAGTCGTGAGGGAACTTGACTTCCTGTAGTTCACTTTGTTCTTAGAATTCAATCTTCCGTTAGCATGCTATGTACTTTTTTACCTCCACGTTTCCGGTTGCTTCTGTTTCAGTTGCATCTCGAAATATTACCACTACCGAGATCTGTATCATTTTAGGCGAAGGCCCGTTTTATCGCATTTGAACTTGTTGAGTTACTGGATGGTATCTCATATAATTTCACTTGACTGAAAATTCCTTAATGGGTCATTTTATTTCGCGGTTTAAGGGTTTTTAATTAATAACCACCGAACAGTGCCTGTTGCGACAGACGTCACGTTAGTGACGTAAATGAGAACGATTATGCTAAAGTACTACGGATGTTTTCTAGTAAAAATACAACCACAATATCATATCTTCAAGAGCATAAGTACATCATAACTTCAAGTACAAAAGTTATTGAGTTTTTTATTAGCCTTAGTATTGATCTATGATCGCGCAAGAATGACTAAGCCAGTTTTAAAATCGTTGCGTGGCTGGTTTTAGATTAATGAGACCGGCGTAGTCATTCTCTTCCGATCGTCTTATCAATTCTTGCCTGACATCGATAATATACTTATGCATGCATCTGATGAATTCGCTTGATTCCGTAATCTCATTGATGATTAGAATCAAGATGTCACTTAATAAAGCGTCGTCGGAGGGACAGCAAAATTTCACAACTGAGCAAGTGTGAACTGGGTCAGTGATATAATGAAAAATAGATTTGCGTAATCCTTCAGATATCCGCATGCAAAGTATTTCCAGCTATTGGAGTTATCAATTTTTTTTTTTTGAAAAGTCACCTCTAAAGCGTTATCGAGGACGAGGTTATACAACTTGCTAACAAGGTTGATAATCATTAAAGGTTTGACTTGGAATGCGACACAATTAACGCTAAAATTATCGCTTAGCAAGTGTTACCTAGTTTACATGTTCAATTCCTGACCTCAATAAAAATAATGTTCTTACCTTAGCTAACTTGAAAGATATTTTGTAGGTTTTTTCTTTTTGGTCAAATTCTGATTTGTTGTGAAGCCTTGCCTAGGAGATTTCCTTGCTAGTTTAGTGTTTTTGGTTCTTGTATACGAGTTTAAAATCGGTGTCGGTTTGATCGTTTATGTTATAACGATATTTCGCGGATCGTTAACTTATATCAATCAATTTACAGAGACGGAATTTCATGAATATCCGTTTTCTCGTTACGCCTTCATATTTGTCATAAATTTGGGAAAAATGTTGACAAGGAGTGGCATTATGCAAAACCCTAATAACTAACAGTGGCTTATCAAGGCGGCATTCAGTGGATGAAATACAAAACTCCGTGACGAAATATGTGAGCGAAATGGGAAGCTTGTGAGGTTCTAAGGCATTACAAGGTCAGTCTTAAGTTTGTATTTGATTTGCTGAAGTTTCAGGTTCTGTTTCGCCTTCTCATTTATTCTGTTCGGGAGGAATCAATTTTTCTTTTCGCTTGTTTATTCTCTTTTTCTTTTTGTTCTCTTTCATTGTTCTAGATCATTGTCGGGCGGCCGGAAAAAAACACGCGAGTCCCTAAAACAGAACCCCCGCATGGTTTTCACGCGTAGGTTTATTTTCCTGTTTTCAATTAGCTTATAATAGGCTTCTTGGGTTAAGCTGTTATCGCTAATTTATTTTTTACTTCCTTATTGACAGGATTCCCTTGAAATACGGCTGCCCTACAAAACATTTACGAGGAAAGATTTCTTGAAATTTCAAAAGCAGTTGGACGTGTGTGTAGCCCGTGTAGTCTTTTTAAATGGGAAATTCCTGATTTTTCACGAAGGGAAAGTCTCTCTCTAAAAAAAAAAAAAAAAAAAAAGAGAATTGTTCCATCACCTGAAATTTATTTTTAGATTTAAGAAAAGCAAAGGAGATAATCCTTTAATATATACTGGCAAATACGTGTGTGATCATTTTAATCTTTCGTGATCCCTCTTATCGACATGTTTTGGTTGTTTCCGGTTTCTAACCACTGATCACAAGGTCATATCGATCCGCCTCATGAAGCAAGTACGCTTATCAGTTGAAGGTAATCAGGGATGGTACACATGGCAACGTCTCCTGAGATGGGAGATTCTCTTGCTGGGAGGTAAATAGCAATGATGGCACTTTCGTATTTTTATAACCGTTATCTTTATTACTTGTGGCCACGGGAAATTTTCATAATTGGAAAAACAGTGGAAAAAGATTTATTCACTTGTAATCGCTCTTCTCAACTGGCTATAAAAATTTATTTAAAATTTGTACCATTATGATACCAAATGGATATGTTAAAAGGGAAAATAAATGGGATAGCGCCTGATTTCCTTCCCGGTTCTTATCCAGTCTCCATCCGATCTCCGTTAAAGCCAGCCTTTTATTTGTAATTATGTTGAATGAACTACAACGCCCGCTTTAGCCCTAAACCTCTAAGAACCCAGTCATAAATGTTTTTCTCGGTAAAATTCAGTGAAGAACACCTTCTGTTCTTCTCTTCTATTTTACTGTACCGTGATGAACACTAAAAATACTAACCCCACCCTCACCCCCTTAGAGATCAGATATTCAGTGTAACTGGTGACTTACATCAGTTTCTTTTTCTTTTTTCTTAAACAAGGACAGTTAAACAAGTTTTTCAAACGATAACTGCAATTGAAAGCAGCCGAAAAGGGATGATATTAAAAGTGAAAGATTCCTTCCAGGCTTAAAAAGCTGCTATGCGTATCCGGTCAACTGAATGCCTTAGGGATAGTCAATGGTGCAGATGTATTGACGTTGAAAGAAATTCTCTAGAAATATCTTTTAATCAGTGGAGGATACTAAGTATAAATAACTAAAGATAGATGAATGAAATAAAATACTTTTCTTTACTTCTTAAAATCTTCTCAACTGAAATAAATATTATTTACTATTAATAATCAAAGTTCAGTAGTCTGCAGCTTCTTGTCTTCTTTTCCATATATTATTACTTGCTGATACAAATACATGAAAAAATAAATAAATAAATAAATAAATAAATAAATTATTAATAGGTATATAGATAGGAAAATATCTAATACAGCTTTAAAGGAGGTCAAACATCTCGAGGGAAATATTTTCTACACTTCATCTCACATGTAAGCAATACGTATATTTAGACATTTATCTCGGAGCCATCGAAAATACTACCGACTGATTGAAATGTTTGATAAAATTGATCTCTGGCTTAAAATATCATTCCATGCTTATCCTTGCTTATCTTAAGCATAGAGATGGACTTCGTCGCAAGATGTTTAAAGATTTCCCGGCATCCAATTTACACGACAGCTTGGCTTTCTTTGATAGAGGCCTCTACATTGTGGTGTCCTGTTTCTGTGGGTAGATTTGTTTCCGTCTCACTGCTTGATACGCTGAGAATGTCTTCTCTTGACTCCTTGATGTCCAAATGACCGCCTGACGAAAAGAACGACCGACACGGTTATTAACGGGCCGCACGGGTAGACCAGAAGAAAACTCACATTTGGTGATAAAGGAGATTATGTCCAGTTCGAAATCGGATTAATTTGCACCGGCTTTATTTGGTTGGAGTAGGAATATATAGCCGAAAAAGGTGTGGCTTACAGGGTATTACAACGAGTCATACAGCAAACAAAGTTAAAAAAAAATCTACTCGAAAAGGGTTTGTGTAATTTGTATAATTAACTCATTCATTCTCAATTCCAAACCTTCGGTATTAAAGCATCATATAGTTTCCATTTTCAGTAATGGTCGGAGATTCTAACTTTGGTCTTTGAATTCCGTACAGTTTGTATATCTTTACATTTTTATCCACCGTTCTAAAAACGCAGAAAAAATTAAAGAGAGTCGATAAAATTTACCTTTTGTTGAGCAGCTCCGTGTGATGCGATATATTAAACCAGCTTTCTTACGATAAAGGACCGCTTCAAAAACCATATACAACAAGACAAACTGTCCTATGAATAATATCACGTAAAACTCTTGGCGAAGTCCACCTGAAATGAAAAATTGTTATATAACAAAGTTATTCAACCTTAATTACTTACAAGGATTAGTCCTTTAAATTCAACCTTTTTAACTCAGGAATATGCGGGGAAGGGGCAAGGGGGTAGGGGTAGGGGGCGCGGGTTTGAGGGATGAGGGGAAGAGGGGTATTACTTGCAAGGGTTTGAGATGAATGAAGAATTTTGCCAGAAACATTCGAGTAAGTTTTCTGAACCTTTTTTGTCAGATTTTTATGCACTCTCTCTTAAAGAAGGCACTACTTTAACAAATTTACTTACCTTTTGAGTGAGGTTTGGGAGATGACTGTTTTCCTACTGCTGGAGGCATCACTTTCGTAGTGCACTTACAAGTCTCTTCATCCACTCGCTTTTGTTTCCTGGCACAGTTTTTATACCTTCTATCTTTGCAAACACATCCACAAGCTTCTTTATTCCATACCTGAAAAAGGAAAAATTAAATGGAATTTTAAGCTCATCATGAATTTGTACACCCGTACAAACTAAGTTTTTACTTCGCGGCTTTACGTACTGTCTTACCTATGCGTCTCTGTAAAATATGTGTCAAATATTTCGGCTTCATTATTTAGAGCAATGAATATTTCACAAGTATCAAATTCCCGAATTTCTTCCAACTCAACAGAAATTCTCTATGATATTACCTTATTTGGACCACAGGATTGAGGCTGCTTATTGCACACACATCGACACTGAGCTCTACTCCAAGTCATTCCTGCCCCACACGGAACCGATGGTCTGTCTCTGTTTCTGCACTGGCACTGACATAGGTCTGGTTTCCATTCCTCTAATTCCAAGTCACAATCTTTCGGGCCGTGGACGCATTCACATCCACAACGCGTGTGATTTTTCACTTGTGTAGTCCGCATTTCATCGGTACCTACCACTTGCACAGTGACAGACACTTCATCGTACTCAAGTGGAATGCATGATTTTACCGAAGGTTGAATATGGTCACATGATCCGCCGCATTGATGAAGCTTCACAAAGTAGGGGAAAAATTTGAATTCTGGATCGTCTATAGGCACTAAAGTCGGTCGTGGTCTGCAGAGTTCGTTGCCTAAGCGAACTAGGAGTAAACAAAAAGCTAATTTCAATACCTTGATACATAATAGTTAATTATTGCCTTGGCAACTAACATTAACTTTCTTTTATTGTTCCATCCTCAAACAGTCAAATTCTGCCGATGTCTTCTCTACCTCATGTCAACCCTTACTTTTAATAGATGCGATTTTCACCTTTAGGGCACCATTCTTCACCTAAATTTTCCATCTCTTGTCTTCACCTTATAACAAATCTTTCCTTCTTCACCCTTAGGCTCTTAGATCCTATGATTATTTAGTAATCTTAATTGGAAAAATTCTATATTATAGAAGTCTACCAAGAGTATATCATTTTATATTCTCTTGAGTCTACTTAAATTGTGTGGTGAAAAGGTCAGTCGCGTTCATAAAGTTATATTAAATTTGGTTTAGGAAGTGGCTACTTTCTTGAAACAGTGGAAATCATTGGAAAGCTGCCCTCATTGTAGATGGCGGAGCTAGTGGACTAAAGAGTCGAGAACAAGATTTTCACATAAGTACCTGCATGTCCCAGTAGTGGAAGGAGAAGGATTATACCGATTGATTCTTGCATGTTTTGTCGTTGTTTCCTTGTCTGATTAATGCAATCTCTGCAAAGAGGTGTCAGAAGTAAGGTAAGAGAATCATATGCGTTCAAAATTGCAATGGACATTTTGTACAATCTTTACGAACGAAAAACAGAGCCCCCCAGGTCTATTTGGGTTACACGAACTACAAATTCTTCTGTAATTAAGATAATAAATCTTAACTACAACGCATTACTCACCATAAATTTGGGTTTCTACAGGTAGATTTTTGCGGTGTATGGGCCACAGAATTACCCTGACAGTGTCTCAAGTACCAAACTGTTCCCGTCGATTAATTTGCGGCCTTTTAAATCGAAGAAGGTAAATGAAACCGGGTTGGGTTTTGGGAGTAGGATATCCCGTGTCATCCATTTAAAGACAACGCCGCCGCATTCCTAGACTTAATGCGTACTTCCACGTACGTATTTCTCGAACTTTCCTGACCTCAGTTTGTATAGAGCTCTAGAATGATCATCACTCCAACATCACCGTAAGAATTACGACAAACCGACAAAGCAACGCTTTAGGGAGAAAATTCATAGAGCGCAAGCTTTTCGTGAGACGCAATGAGAATTTTGTTTGCGGTGTATTTTTCCAACTTTTCTTGTCCTAGCCACTTCAACGATTTTAGAAATTTCCTCGGCGGAACTACGCAACATACACATTGTGGTAACATCTATGAATGACTCATCCAGAAAAGGATATTCTTGAATCGCGGGGAAATGCAAGAGGTACACTTACATTCTATGAGTAGCTTAAATAGAAAGTATCAGACAAAAACAGATCAAAAGCTAAAAATTATCCTCGTGCGTCACACCTAGACTTTCATGCGAGATCTTGAAGTGATAGCTTTATTTGTAACATAATGCCAATATGAAATCTATGAACTGACCTTTAGCACAAGGAAAAACGCTTATGGCAACCGAAAGCATGCCAAATTTGGATCGTGGGAACAAAGGAAGGATATTTCATTTCGATAACAACACAAACAAACCCAAAAAATAAATAAATAAAATAAAATAACAACGATACAACTAAGGAGTAGTTTCCTATCCTTCTATGATCAAAGATCAAGATCGCTAGCACTTATCCGCCACTGGGTAACAGTTTTTTAGTTTCATGATAGATTTAAATCTTGTATTTGATGTTGAGTTCAGTCTTTCCACAAATGGAAAATAATCCTGCTTTGGTTTGAAATTATGATTTGTAATGTATCCTCTGTGGCTTTCTTTGCAAAGAGGACCTACCCCTTCTAATGAAAAGTGTTTTCGGCAAACATTCTTGTTGCTTTTTAGTCTTCTTCCGCCCTTTTTCTGCGAGGCGTTTTCAATTTGCGTCATTCTGACGTCATGGGAGCAAAGGTGAGATAAAATTAGTTCAGCTGTCGAATGATTGACAATTTCTTATAAGTGGGCTTTCGATCAAAACTTTTAATAATGCACTGTTCAGTGGAACAAAAAATTTGTCAAGAATTACGAAGAATTGAAAAGAATTGCAAGAATTAAAATTTGCAGAATTACGTGTTCATGTCATCGCCTTTAGGTGTGTTAAATATGAGTCGTCTAAATTATAGGGAATGGTTGTGATTCACAATTACAACCTTGTGTCCTAAGATTGTCGCAAAAACACACAAAGGGTGCACTTTATGAGGTAATATTGAATCCGATGGCCATGAGATAAAATTCGTAAGGTTTTTCCGGACAATGAAAGAAATAGAAACTCACACTCTCGCGATATTGAGTTTATTCTGACCCCACATGAGATCTCGCGAATCGTTGTCATAATTGGAAACAAATATTACAAAATTGTTTTAAACCTTAAACTTAGGGATTCAATATCACGCCTGGTTACATGAAGTTCCAGTTTGAGGGGGTTGTTGTATACAAGAAGGCCTCGGGGTGATAGATTGGGGGCGTATGTTTACTCTCATTCGGTAGATCTTTTCCTAAGCGTCGATACTCATTGCGCAACGTGGGCTACATATATTTTGCATAATTAAGTTTTCATTGATTTCCTCTGTAACTTTTTTCGAGATTCGATTGTGAACTGTAATTATCTCTTGATGCAATAAGATGACAGATTGTTGTATTATGAGTCAGCTTTTCCTTATCTTTCAAATCCGTTTTGACAACCGGCCCTGGTCTCTTTTGTTCATTTGATAGTATTTTAGGGGATGCAACCGAATCTAAGCCGGCAAGAAAGGTTGCTTCCTTCGGCACGACGTTCTGGTTAGCCCATTAACTACATACTGACCTCAAAAGTACAAAAAACAGGTGCTTCTAGCATTAATGAAATAACAAGGCAATTAGAGAAGAACTGAGTTTTATTACTGAGAAAACTGAATTGGATAATGATACTTTTATCATCCTGACATCCCAAAAGTTGGGTTACTTTATTAACGTGCTTTACGAAACACTACAGATTTCTTTTCACGGAAAAGAGGAGAACTGGCAGTCAAGTATACCAATCAATTACTTACTAATGTAAAAATGTCCTTATTGCTATCACCCATTACTTATCCCACTGACAATTATTTGATGACATATACTAGGAACAACTAAATTATCTAGAGTATGCTGAGGGGATACTTTCTGTAATGGTCTCCACAAGGATGCTCCTAATTTCAAAAGTTTCAAAAGTTGAGGCAGAGAAAGGGTAGGGATCCTACAGCTCAGTTATTAATCTAAACAAATTGGTGGGTTGAGTGTTGGCAGTTGTCCTTTATATTCCCACCTTTACTGCCTGTATACCAGTGGTACTCACTAGGTGCATGGGACCACAAAGGGGCATCCTTGAGAAAAATTATGTTAGTTTCTCCATGCCTGGCAATTTTCAGAACTTAACCTTAATAAAAAAATATGAGAATGATGTTCTAAGTTTCAATTACGACCAGCTAATACTCAAAGTATCAGTAGTACAATTTGGTATAAAATTAGGGTTAAAACTTAGGTATGTTGGTTCTAAAAATGTTGATTGAAGAAGAAAAGCCATCTTAAGTTTTTTATACTTGAAGAGGTTTGTTAGACTTGTGTTTCAACCCTAACACCAGCATTTTCACAGCTCTGACCAACAGATTCTGCAAGTAAATAAAAAGAATGATTATCAGTCAGTAAGTTAATGAGAGGAAATGGAATCACGATATGATTATATTATCATTGTATGTAGGCTTAAAAACAGTGATCGTGGTACATATTGATTAATGATGTCAGTGAAGTGAAAGCACAAGGAAACAACAAGAAATTAGATAGAGAAATGAAGAGATTTAGTAATAATAGAGCAACCTCAAATTTGAGGTGTCAGCTCCATTCCATAACCCTATACCCCCCTAACATTGATATCTATATTCTCCATACTGTTCTATTTCCTCTGGTACTGACAAGGAAAATTTGTTTGATCATAAAAAGCTTCAAAATTGGTGATCATTTCCTTTTTCCTCACGACCTTCATGTTTGATTTTAATGGTGATACTTTGAGGAGAAATTCGATGCCAGTCACTCTAAGGGATTGAAGAGTTAATAATTAACCATACCAGCACTACTGGTTGACTCATTCAGTTTTCCAGAGGATCCAAATGGATATTTGGGATAAGCTGAGCGGTACCAAAGGTAGGTAATTAAACATAAAATCACTACTATTGCAAGAGCAAGAAAAACAGCAAGGACTTTGGATTCCACATAGGTCATGAACCCTGTAAGAAATAAAAAACTTCCATCACAAATCATGAATAAGCAAGAATTCCCACAACTTTGGTTTCTTTCATAGATCTATAAAACCATTGACAATGTTAAGCCCTAGGATGGATGAGCAGAGTTGTTAAGGGTGGTAGGAAGGGGTGGAAGGGGGCCATGACCTCAACTCCTCATATTTCAGACACTATTTTCTGAAATTGCCCCAATCTTTTATGGTAATGTGAGGTCCATTGAAAGTAAAGATCTTCCAGAAGGAAATATTTTCATAGGTATGTATAGAAGATACTATCCAAACCAACCCCTAGTCCCTTCAAGAAGACATTATTTCTCCATTCCAACTATAAGCTGGCCCTATTTTCACTTACCAGGTCGTGGTGCTGTTGATTTCATTGGATCTTTACATGCACATGTTTTAGGATCCATCAACTTGTTTTCAGCCTTACAATGATGTTCATAAAATGATGTGCAAACACAGGAACATTTCTTCTTATTCCACATCTGTGTGAAGCACAACAAAAATAATATATTTTTAGGTTACTTCAATCAATCAGTCAGTTAGTAATAACCCATTCAAGTACAAACTACACAAGTAAATTTTAGTCAAGTACTCCCTTATTTATTTCCCTTTCCATTTCATGTTCATCTCAGTTGTTAACCCGTAATAATTGATTATAGGTGTGGGCTGTTTTAAAAGGATTTTGGCTTCCAGTTTGCAACTGACTATTCTTCATTTATTCATTTAATAATTGGTTTAATGTGTACTCCCAAAAAAGTATTTAAACTTTAAACTAATTCCTCCTGTGTAACAATCCTTGTGGGTAGAGTGACCAAGATTTTGCTTTACCAATAACTCGTGTAAGTGTTGCATGACCCATTTAACATTGTGAAATAATGGAAATACTAGTCAATTCACCACCTTATTACCTTTTCAAGCGGACAACGTTCATGTGTGTTGCATTCATATCGACAGAGATGGTTATTCCACCTAGAAGAATGGAAAAATGTCACAGAAATAAAATTTTCATTTAATCTACCGATAGGCTTCTAAGTGTGTCCTAACTGAAATGCAAACAAATGATTGCAGAGGCAGAGCTTGTTGGGCTAGGGGTCTGAGAAGCACAATAAAATCTGAAATTAACAGATGCTTCTCTCTCTCCACTGACTTTTTTGTGGTAAAATCACTCACCCAAAGCCCTTTTTTGGTTTCACGACATCGTCAGGCGGAGGCGAACGTGGATATAAACATTTGCATTGGCAGCTTTTGTCGTTCCATTCCTGCACTTTTAAATCACAATCGAGAGGACTTGCCTTGCACTCAGGGCCACATTTCGTGTGATTCTGGAGTCTTATTTGTGTCGATAGTCTATTGGTAGTATCATAGACCGAAAATGTAACCTCCCTACTCTCTGTGACCACACATTTCTTGATGTTGGGGCTTTCGTACCCGTACGAGCCCTCGCACCGATGGAGTCGTATGAAATATGGATAATATCTGTGGTGCGGTTCGTCCACTGCCACAGTCGAGAGGACTGGTGGATTGCACTCAACAGCAACAGGTTTGACAGCCGCTGAAAATGAACACAATCGAACGGTAATGCAAAATGTCTTGATCTTCCTCCCCCGCCCCGTATCTCCATTAAATAACACGATCAGCCCAGCAGAACCTGATCACATGTCTTGATCGAAATTTCTCAAGGGACTCGTCCATGAAGGGTTATTACCGGTTGAGGGATCTTTCGATGAATGAAATCAGAAAGCGAAAGTAAACGCCCCACTTTGTGTTTGTCTTGATCGAAGAAAGTTTTGAGCTTGATGCGTGGATGTTTGACCTTACTTATTTTTCTAGAGCCTCTAGATAAAGAAAATATATTGTATGATAGAATTGGTGACTTTTTTACATAAACCTTCTCTTGGTTGCTGAGAAAAATTCAGACAGGACGTAAACTCGGTGACTTAGGGTTTTCCCCGATAGCCGGTAGCTTTTAAAGTAACTTCCTAACACTTTGACTGCTTTTTCTTTTTCATTTTTATCTACATATTCCCAATACAGTAGTATTTCATTGTTTGTTACATATGCTGTAACCAGGAATCAAACCGGAATTTAGCGGTCGATAGTAGTTTTATGAATCTGGCGTTGGTGACGAGGAATGAATAAATGAATGAACGAAAACGGTGCATCTATCACAAATAGCTTCATTACATCACCACAGGTGCAGACTTAATCATTAAGTATTGGGATTTTGAGAATGAAACAGTCAAGCTATGTGTGAGAATCGACACTTGGCAATTTACTCACCGGTACATTGAAATGCGGCTTGGGATAAAAGAAGAACAATTGTCCAAATTGAAAACTGCATCATAGCTCTTGAATCCTTGTCCTGATGTGTTGTTATTCTCTGCTAGATCGGCGAATTCTCTACCCCCTATCCTTTAAAGCCAGGACCTGACTCACGTTCGATTTGTAGGTCTTGGTTCATTGAAATGAAGTCGCGTCGTAATTACTAGGTTATTAAGTTTCAGTGATATGTAAATAGGTCACAAGACGAAGGCGGAACAATACAAGATGACAGGTTGACAATCGAGACTGATCAAATAAATACTGCCAGAAAATGAAAGTCTTTTGTATGGACTCAAAGGCTGAGACGGGGCTTTCCCCTGTTACTTAGAGGAGCGTGAGAAAAATTCTCTTCGATTACCCGTCGGAATTATTTCCATAACATGACGACATTTTACATCAATTAATCAGATTTCTCTTTTCAATCTTGACAGTACAGGAAATAAGGAAATAGAAGATAGTCAGATCGAAAGTCTACAAAATATTCCAAAGAGTTTTACGATCGTACATTCTTTTGAAATAATTGATAGACATTCCTTTCTAACACCCACTCTCACACCCATTTTCTAAGAAAATCACTTGACACTAACACTTTTTTTCGTCGCATAAGAAGGCTCAGGGATTCGATTTCAAGAGAGATAGCGGTTCTATTCCACCGGAAGTTGATGATATTGCTTCAAGCGGAAAGAAGAGAGAACGCTTTGCCGTGATACTAAATACCACACTGTAGTGATTTCTGTTTGTGAATCCAACTCAAACGATCCTTTTTTATTTTTTTCCAAACCCTAGTCGCTGTTGTAGCTGATCAGCTTTGTGTGTATGATCTTTCCGGTACTGCACTTAAAAGCGGATCATAAACGATCTTATAAATAACTCTTGCCGAGGAATACAAGTTAAGTTACGAATTAAGTACTGATAAATATACTAGTACACGTTAATTGTCACGAAATTGTCAGTGATTGGAATAGAGCGCGTGTTAGATTTCACAATTTGCAGACAAAGTAGGCAGTTCATTTACTTTGTGAGAGATGTTGTAATTGCACGCGTTTAGTCCGCTAAATAAGAAAGGAAAAGGTGTTTTAAATATAGGTCTATTACGATAAGTTTGTTTGGGATTTTACCATATTCGTGATTTAAAAAAAAAATACTAGCTTAGTTTAGGCGAATGAAGAGTTAAGTCAGAATTGTCAAGATTATTACATTGTGTAGCGTAAATCGTAGTGATCAACGCAAATAAACCTTGAAAAAGAAGATTGCTTACAGTCCTCTTCGATCGAGTTCACCAGCGACTGCAGAGTCTGTAGAGATTTCGCGACAACTCTATGAGCAGGAATGAATTCACAGAAGTAGAATGGAGTTTAGAAAAAAAGAAAATGGTGCCTGATGTCAGGCTACCGTGCGTTTGGTAATATAAATACTAAGTATTCGCGAAGATTGCGGATCAGTCACTCATCCTAGCAACTTTTTCCCATAGCGCCCTGCTTTTGGGGGGTCGCCTTTCGGGATTCCAATCGTACCATACATGAAGGTTTCTTATTTTTCTGTTTCTTTTTTTAGCTCATGATGATGAAATCATTTTATCAAAATTATAATAGCTTTTCGAGGTTTTAGTTTCTCATACATTCATCAACATCATGTTATTATCACGACTATCTAGTATTCAGAGAGGAAAAAAAAATGGTTGTATCCGTTATTACCAGATTTTTGTTATTCCCGAGGTTATTTCTTTCAAGGTCAAAGTTTTGAGGGTTCGTTACTTTGGAGGATTTTCCATTCTCTGAATTGAGCCCTGTTTTTCGAAGGGTGGGTTCTATGTTCAGTAAAGCAATGATTAGTAACTAGAAAGGGGAACTGCAGGCTCTATCGTGAGACTACAAATGTTTAAGTTACAAATTCTTCACCTAATAGTCTTCGAATTCTTTAATTTCCATATTTATTGAATTTCTCATTTCCAGAGAGTCGGGGATTATTTACAGCTTCCCTTTGTTCACGTGTAGTTGGTAAATCATTTTTAAGAAGCACTTTTGAATCAATATAGCACCGTGTCATAACCCAAAACATGATACAATTGTCTGAAAGTGGGTGCGACATTGCGTTGTGCTACTTTCAGTGATTCCTATTAGATGTCCCTAGCTATACTCTTATGTTCCGCATATAGACAATGATTATTTTTCCAAATTACCTCTTCTAGCTAAAAGATCTGACTAGTTTTTTTTTAAATAAATACGATGCTAAAATACTAACAATGTTGTCTTTATAACAATTTTAAAATGATCGTTGAAGGAGCTAGCTTGACCATGATTGGCAAGCCTTGTGCACGTGATTCCTTGGGTCATGAATTTACGAGTAATACCCCATTCACGCCAAAGCTTACACATGTTTTACTGCTTTGTTGACCTTTCTACCCTCAGAGTGATTAGCATCTAATCTCTCCTACCATATCACCCTTGAAACAAACATTAAGGTCATGAGAATAGAGGAAATGATCACCAACTAGAGCAGCTCTTGATTATTAAACAAATTCTCTTTGTCAGCACCTTGATAAATGTATAGTGAATGGTATGGAGAATAGGGATACTGATGCTAGGGGATAAAGAGTTAAATGCGGATTAAAATTTTCTTCTTCATAGAAGCTGCTTAAACTGATGTTTGTCGACGTCTAATTTAGCACATTGAAAATAGAGGCTAGTGACAACTTGAACCCTACTAATCAAAAATTGGTTTAACTTACCACGTTTTACTGAGTACATTGGGTACAAGAAAGGGACAGATCCTAGCAAATAAATGAGCAAAGGCAAGCAAATATTACGTGTTATTAACACTACTCTCTCTGCCTCCAATTTGGGGGGATTAAATTGTATTTGTTGTTGAAATATATTATTTAAGAGTACACTCCTCATTTCATAGACAGAGAAAAAACATCTGCCTTCATGTTATTGACTTTTATATATAAAAAATCGCCTCTAAGCGATCTCAGCGAAATAGTTCAGCTTTTTCAAATTTGGTCAGTTACATATAAGTTCAGCTCTGTACCTGCGCAAATAAGGTGAGGAGAGCATATCAGCTCACTATCTATCATAAAAGATTTTAATCTCGACATCGAGATTAACTACTGAGCACATCCTATAGTTTTATTGTTATATTAGGGTCGAATGGGTCATTACACTTCATCCTTCTTTATGTGGATGTTTCTCTTTTGTTTCTTCTGTGGCATATCGTCCCCATTACGCTTCACCTTGTCTTTCTGTGGATGTTTCTCTTTTGTTTCTTCTGTGGCATATCGTCGCTGAGATACTGGTATCCCTGAGGTATGGTTTTAGATGTTTGTAACTCGTACTTTGGGGGACAAAGGAGCAGTGCAGCTATCGTCGTCACTTGAATCCTTCGCACCCTCTAAGGACTCGGCAGAATTAGCAGCCATCTTTAGGTCTGAAAGGTTTTATAAATAACGATAATATTATTAATATAGCTTGTATTTAAGAAAGCAGATCGATGATATTTCTTGCATAACTTAAATCCTTTGCGTCCATCAGTTCCTCCTAGTTCTCCCCCCCCCCACCTTTGATACCTCCTAAGCAGCGACCATCCCTGATTCTCGGATAAGATTTGGATATGATCCCTATTTTGTATCCAGAAAAACTCCTCATATTCTTCAAGATACTTACATTGAGAAGCAACTTCATCATTCGTCTTTCCTGGGTCTGATCCGTCGAGCGGAGCGTTGGCCGAGCTGTTTCGGTTTCTCTTTCGTACCCAGTGTACCAGAGCACAAATGAGGAGTATGATGATGACTGCTTGACCTATCAGAAGTGTTATAAACATCCGGTTTCGAGAGTAAACTGCAGGAAAAAACAAATACTTTTAGAAAAAAAAATTAAAAGCTGGTAACATTTCAGGGGAATAACGGCTTGCCAAATTAAAGTAAAATATTTCCAAAAGAAATCAGACAGGGAATGAATTCATAAGTACAGTCTTAAATTGGGGGCTGCCTTAACCAAAATGTTGTGCTAAACGCGTGACAAAATGTGCCTCCTAACCTGCTGAACAGGGGTATCACTTTTGTGTTTTTCAGGCGAACGGAGGCAAACGCGAGGCAAGCGTGAAGGGTGTTCACGTGCATTGGGAGAAGCACAGAAGAAAAATGTGAAAAGGTGAAATTTAAAATGAAAAAATGTTCGATAATCAAAAAAAAAATGTATCACATTTCTTTCTGATAAAAGAAATGGTCTTTAAAGATGATTTAATAACATAGCGTCCTGAATATGCCCGTGCTTGAGATTATAGACTACAAATTATAATTCCATGTTTTTTCCCCCAAATTGCCCCAAGCTTTTTTGTCAATGTGAATTCCATTGCAAACAAACTACAGCAGCTTTAAATACCATTTTATACCTCTGGGTGGAGAAGGACTTTTCCTAGGCTAGAGCCTCGTCTTGGACTCCAGCGGTTCACCAAATGTCAGTGCATCGTGTTAGCATCAAATTAGAGATAAACTCATTTTAGAGATACGTGTTTACCTGCTTTATGTCTGCGGAACGCCTTCACATCCACGCACTGGCAATCAACGTCAATTCCCAATTCCATTTGTATGCAGTCATTTACTGCACTGCTCTCACATTTGCAACCGCAGATGTCTTTGCTCCAAGTCTGTACAAAACAAAAAGAATCATGATGCGCTTCAGATGAAGAACCAGTTATGAAAAAGAATGTGTAATGATTAAAACCCGTGAGAGGAATGTAATATCAAGCTGTCAAATACTGTTCTTCTACATGGTACATTTTGTACATACATTTTCATTCATTTAAGACTTTCTTCAGAAAAACATAGAAATTTTTTTTTGTCACAGTCGAGCAGAGAATCGTTGAGCAGTTTTATATTTACGCAGTGGAAAGACTCCCAATCGATTAAAAAGTCTTCTAAGATCTGAATCTTGCGAAAATTGGTTTTGACTTGTAATTTAGGTGGCATAGGGAGACAACTTACTGCAGAGAGTGCGTCATTCGAACGTTGAATATTTTCTAAATTTGTATTTTCCTTCCATTAATTGTGAAATTCTTAAAATTCGGCGGTTATGAAGAATGCCTTACCATTCTGATGGGACAGTGCTCAGGTGCTCGGTCACATTCGCATGCGCATTTATATTTGTTCCACCTGAAAGAAATTCAAAAAGTAAACACCGAAAAAATTAATAACCCAAAAATATGGATGGTTAAGTGGCTGACGAGTAATTTAATTTTTTGGTCGTACATTTTTACCGTCCATCTCTCTGCAGTTAAATATGTCCCTAACGATCTCCTAAGATAACATGTA